TGGATTACTTTCTTCTTTCTGCTCACTCTGGGCTTTGTTTGTTGTTGTCCCTCTAGTTCTTGTAGATGGAAGTTTAGGTTGTTTGTTTGAAAGTTTTCTTTTTTTTTTTTTTTTTTACGTAGGCCTGTATTGCTATGAACTTCCCTCTCAGGGCTGCCTTTGCTGTGTCCCATATGTTTGGGGCTGTTGTGTATTCATTTTCATTTGTTTCCAGAAACTTTTTGATTTCTTCCTTGATCTCATTATTAACCCATTCATTGTTTAATAGTATGCTATTTAGTCTCCATGAATTTGAATGTTTTTGAGTGTTTTCCTTGAGGTTGGTTTCTAGTTTCAAGCCATTGTGTCTGAGAAAAATTCTTGATATGATTCCAATTTTTTTGTATTTATTAAGGCTTGTTTTGTGTCCTACCATGTGGGCAAAGGACCAGAACAGACACTTTTCCAAGGACATACAGAGGACACATAGACAAGTGAAAGAATGCTCAATATCACGAGCCATCAGAGAGATGCAAATTAAAATCACAATGAGATACCACTTCACACCAGTCAGAATTGCCATCACAACCAAATCAAGAAACAAGTGCTAGCAAGAATGCTGGGAAAAGGGAACCTTTGTGCACTATTGGTGGGAATGAAGACTGGTACAGGCACTGTGGAAAATAGTATGGAATTTGCTCAAAAAACTAAAGATGGAACTAAGTTTTGATCCAGTAATCTCACTGCTAGGATTATACCCTAAGAATTCTTTTTTTTTTTAAGATTGTATTTATTTATTTTTAGAGAGGGAAGGGAGGGAGATAGAGAGAGAGAGAGAGAGAAACATCAATGTGCAGTTGCTGGGGGTTATGGCCTGCAACCCAGGAATGTACCCTAGCTGGGAATGGAACCTGGGACACTTTGGTTCCCAGCCCACGCTCAATCCACTGAGCTATGCCAGCCAGGGCTGGATTATACCCTAAGAATTCTGAATCACCAATTCAAAAGAACCTATTCACCCCAATGTTCATAGCGACATTATTTACAATACCCAAGTTCTGGAAACAGCGTAAGAGCCCATCATTAAATGAGTGGATCAAAAAACTGTTGTACATTTACACAACAGAATACTACACAGCAGAAGGGTTGAAGGAACTCCTACCCTTTTCAACAGCATGGATGGAACTGGAGAATATTATGCTAAGTAAAATAAGCCAGGTGGCAAAAGACAAATACCATATGACCTCACCTATAAGTGGAACCTAATAAACAAAACAAACAAGCAAAATAGAACCAGAGACATGGAAATAAGGAACAAACTGCCAGTGACCAGAGGGGTGGAGAGAGAGGGATAACAGGGAAAGAAGGGGAAGGGTCTAGTCCAGGAATATGTATAAAGGACCCATGGTAACAGACAACAGGGTCGGGGCTGACTGAGGGAGCAGGGGTGTGGGCGAGGCAGGGGAGAATTTGAGACACCTGCAATTCAACAATAAAAAAATAAAAAAATTTTTAAATTACAAAATAAAAATGATCAAGGAAATGCAAATTAAAACCACAATGAGGTATTACTTCACACCTTTCAGAAGAGCTACCAATAAATTAACAAACAACAAGTGCTGGCAAGGATGTGGAAAAAGGGAACCCTTGTGCACTGTTAGTGGAATTGTAAGCTGGTGTAGCCACTATGAAAAATAGTATGGAAATTCTTCAAAAAATTTAAAACAGAGCTGCCATTCAACCCAGCAATACCACTGATGAGTATCTATCCAAAGAAAATGGAGATGCTAATTTAAAAAGACATATACATCCCAATGTTCATTAGAACATTCCTTACATACAAGAACCAACATATGGAAGAAACCTAGGTGTCCACTGATAGATGCTGGATAAGAAGATGTGGTATACACATATATATATATTAGAATATTACTCAACCATAAACAAATGCAATCTCACCATTTGTAACAACATAGATATTTCTACAATGTATTATGAACAAATACTGTATAATTACATTTTTACATCAAATCTAAAGAAACAAAACAAATGAATGAAGAAAAAAAACAGAAACAGACTCACTCACAGACACAGAGAAGAGAACAAATTGATGGTTGCCAGAGATGGGGAATGGGCAAAAAAGGTAAAGGGGACTAAGATGTACAAACTTCCAGTTATAAAATAAATAATGGGGATGTAATGCACAGCACAGGGAATATCGTCAACAACATCATAACAACTTTGTCCAGTGAGACATGGCTACTACACTTATCTTGGTATTCAGTTTATAATTTATATAAATGTTCAATCACTGTGTTGTACACCTGAAACTAATATAATATATTAACTATAATTAAAAAATAAAAGCAGACATCTGATATATCCACTTTTTTTTGTGGACATGATATTGCTGGATCTTTATTTTTCTATATGAAAATATCAGTCATTGTATCAGTGAGTTTCATCTGTTAGTATTTTTCATAGTCACTTATTATGTGTTAATTCATCATTAACACTTACTTATTTCTGCCACCTTAATTCCTGTTCTCTATTTTCAAATGTTTCTTCTTTTTTCTCTACTATTTTCCATTGAATGGGTCAAAGTTACTTCTGCAAGCTGTGAAGTTTGTGTTCTATTTTTCTTCTTCTTGTGGTTATTCCTAACTTATTAGAACCCATGCTTAGCTTTGGTTTTCTCCATCAATTTCTAAATTTAATCAATAGCTGTATCTCCTTTGTGAAAGACACTAACCACTTGGCATGCTTTTACTCCTTCTGGTCCCTCACCCTCCACCATTCCATCAGTTTTTCATATTCTAGAACTTGATACTTTTTTTTCCCTTGGGACATAGCTTATTTAGACAATAAATCTTACTAAATGGCTTACTCTCCAGTAATTCTCATATCAAGTATCTTCTCTGGAGTTGTTCATCATTTTGTTGGAACACTTTCTCTCAGGATGTTTATAAGTTATGTCTGTGTGTAGTATACCTTCTGAGGGATTTCATGCCAAAAAAAAATCTTTATTTTGCTTCACATTTCAAGGAGAGTTTAGTTAGATATAAAAGTCTAGATTCAAATTTCTTTTAAAAACATACTTTGGAAATATTACTCTAGTGTTGCTATTAAAAAGGTAAATGTGAATTTAATTCTTATTCCTTCATAGATGACCTACTTCTGTCTCTCCAGAATTGTTTCCTTTTTTAAAATTTCACTTTGGATGTCAGTGAGTTGATATTTTCCCTTGTTGGATACACAATAAGTTCATTCAATCTTTTTCTAATTGTGGGGAAATTTTAATTAGCAGTACTTCAAGTATTTAACTTCTGTTTAATTTTTTCTCTTTTAGGGGCCCTATTAATCATATGTTGATAGTTACTCTAATTTTTTACCCTTTAATATTTCTCTAATTTTTCTAGTTCTTTGTTTCTTATTAATGCCTCTGGGAATGTTTCAAAACCCACTCCATCTCATTAATTTACTCATCAACTGCATTTATTCAACCCAGGAATATTTTTTATTTCTATTATATCTGATTGGTTCTTTTTTATAACTTGTTATCCCTGTTTAATGTTTCTAATGCCCTCCTATATGCTCTTGAGAATACTTATTGGGATTATTATAAATTCTTGTTGCTCTAGCTCATCAGTTCCACTCCCTCTGGAATTAGTTGTTCGGTTTGTGATCCCTGCTTTCCAGTGTTTTACGTCAGTGTTCATCAGATGTCTCTCTATTTTTCCTTTTCCTTTTGGAGTATTGGCTACAGTTTTTACATTATGTTCTCATTTCCATCCATATCCCATTTTGCTTCAGAGGATTCTCCAGAATTAGACTCAACAGAGGAAAGCCACAATTTTTCTTTCAGTTCCCCACCTCAACTCTCCCATAACATAAACTAGTCTTACTGCCCCCATATGTAGTCTGATTTGACCTGGTTGTCTCTTCATGTTAAGTAGAATTAGACTATGTCACAAGATCACCAAACATTTTCCATTTGTTTATGGAAAGAGTTATAGTTTTCTAGGGGTATGGGAGGTATAATAATGGCTCAGAATGGCAGATAACTATGAAAAATATAATTATTTCCAAAATTTGCTGGAACCTTAATATTGTGTGATTGTTGCAGTGAATCTTATTTTTCCTTCCTCTTCATAGACCTGTATAACATAATTTTGTATTTCAAAATTATCAAAATTTTGTTTTGAGGATTTCTTAACTAAACCCTATCAAATCCCCAAGATGGGTTTTACAAAACTTGTTTGGTTACTGCTGATCTAATAATATAATAGAAATTGGTTTGGTATGCTCTGCAGAAGTATTTGCCTTGTTTCCATGTTCTTGCTACATCAATATTTGTATCTCGCCAGACACCTGTATAGATGTCTAGCCTTTTCTTTTGATTTGATATTTATTTATTCAACAAATATTCACTGAACACTTGCCATACTATTGTTCTAATCACCAGGTGCCCTGCAAGAAGGGCACAGTCCCTGCCTTCACAGAGCATTACAGTCCAACAGACTCTAGAGTGAATGTAGGTTCTGTTAGAGCAGAGTGCTTCTGTGTTGTTTTCCAGTGTATCCCAGGTACCTAAACAGTGTACATATCAGGTCAATGATAAATAAGCAAATGTTGACATTAATTACAGCTGTGTTAAGCATTATGGAGAGAAAATACAGGTGTTGTGGAGTGTATAAGCAAGAGGCCTTACCTTCTGTAGGGGAGCACATAGAACTAGTTCTCCAACTGATAGAGCTATCTCTTTAAAGTGGTTTTTGCAGGCTCACTTAAACAATCAGTATCTATTTCCTGTTCAGGCCACCCCCCTATTATACATGGAGGCTTGAACCACCTTGGATGTTTCAATAATTGATTTCTATAAATGAATGACTAGACAAATTGCTTAGTAATACCCTATGCTTATAGAAATAAAAGAAAAATCACAGTTTAATAATGAATATTTGTATTTCTTGCTTCTTGCCTGCCCACTCACCCACCACATTTTCTTTTCTAACTTGCAGCTGAAGGAGCTTCTATGCACCCTTGTGATGATACATACTGTGGACCTTTCCCAGAATCTGAACCAGAAGTAAAAGCTGTAGCTAACTTCCTTCGAAAACACAAGAAGCACATTAGAGCTTACCTCTCCTTTCATGCATATGCTCAGATGTTGCTGTATCCCTATTCTTACAAATATGCAACAATCCCCAATTTTAGCTGTGTGGTAAGTATTTGACCTCTACACCTGTGTGCTAGGTTTCATGCTTTTCTAATGCTATGATGATGCTAAATAGTCATGAAAATAGCAAACATATATTGTGTTTATTCTAATCAACATTTTATGTTTAGTAGCTCATTTACTGTTATATAAGGTGAAAAACTATTCCTATCTCCATTTTACCAAGGAGGAAACTGAGACCTAGACAAATTAAATACTAATTAGACTAAGAACACACAGCTACTAAGTGTCACAGCCAAGATGCAACCCCAAATCCAGCTCCAGTGCTGTTGCTTTTAACCACTGTGCTCCGCTGCTTCTCAGATGTGATCCTTTCAAACCTATTTACATTCTTACCAGAGGTTATACAGAAAATGTCAGGATGGATTTGGTATTACAGCTTCAGTCACATGTGCAGAGTTATGATTAACTTTATTGAATAAATAATTGCTCATAAATTATGGTCTGACTCTCATTAATTAAAAGAAAGTTTTAATTTATAAGTGCTATTTGCTTAATGCTACTAAGTCTCTGGGCATGTATCTGACAAGTTAGTGCTGAGAATCAACAGCCTTTCTGGCATAAGATTACTTAAAAATGAAAAAGTAGTGTTCCTTTCTCTCTTCATCTCAGTAGCCTACCAAGCTATCCATTATGGGCATAATTCCTTCTAAAGGGGGCCTTGTTCAGAGCCTATAGTATCTAAAGGCCTATTAAGTTCAAAACCAGAACAAACCAATGTATAGTGCTAGAGGTGAGGAACAAGGAGAGTGCAGTGCTTGAGAATAGGCTTGGGAGGGCTCTTGGGTTGCTTTCCATGTTCTGTTCCTTGACCTGGATGGGATTACACAAGGATGTGCAATTTGTGATTATTCATTGAGCTATAAATTTAAAATCTGTATAGTCTTCTGTATGCATGTTATACTTAAATTTAAAAGGTTTTATAAAAGAGAATTATCTCCTTTCTCTCTATACCTTAAACTCTAAGTCCTGTGCCAGTTGCTTGGGGTTTTAGGAATTCCTGAGCTAGAGGCTCAGGACTGGAAGGAATAGGGAACATGAAGAAGTCAAGAGAAGGCCTGGGGGAAGGTTTCCATCTGAAAGAAGAAGTATGTTCTTGGCATTCCTAGCAAGAATTCTGAGCAAATTCTCTCTCTTGAGAAATATTGTGAATGAGGCTCTGGCCAGGTAGCTAGCTCAGTTGGTTAGAGCATTGTCCCAGTATGTCAAGGTTGTGGGTTCAATCCCTAGTCAGGGCATGTATAAAAATCAACCAATGAATGCATAAGTAAGGGGAACAACAAGTGGACATTTCTCTCCCTTCCTCTCTCTCTCTAAAATAAAAAAAAATAAAAATTTTGGAAAGAAATACCATGAATGTGGTTGTTGATTTGACAGTGCTCTTCTTTAGCTACTCCAAGAGTCAGACAGGAATTTTGTTGTCATTGGTGTTGGTCTGGTACCCTAACCACCTTGTTTCACAATGTTTCTACAGGCAAACATCCAGTCCTTTTTAAACTGGGCAGTGTCTGTTAATGGAATCACAAAACATTATATGGAGTATGCACTACATTAAAACTATTACATGAAAATTCATCTTCCCACTAGGAATGAAGCCTATTTTCTTTTTGCCTTGGGTTTGAGGATATGGTATAAAGAGTAGGTTAGTTTTTCAACCAAAGATAAATTGTGCTTTCAAGGGGCACTGGACAATGTTGGAGACATTTTTTATTGTCATAATAGGTTTAGGGGATGCTATTGACATCTAGTGAATAGAAGTCAAGGATTCTGCTCACCATCCTACAATACACAGGACAGCCTCCCACAGCAAAGAATTGTTCAGTCCAAACTGTTGGCAGTGCCACTGTTGAGAAATCCTGTTGTTGGGTTACATATCAGCAAAATCACTGAAACCAGGATTACAACTCTCAGAAGCTAGGTAGTCTCTGAATGTCAACTGGAAACCATTAAATTTTATTAAAATTGTTCAAAAGCATTCCATCAGTATGTAGGAGTCTAAGTTTCTGCTAACATTTTCAAGTCATTCATTAGGTTGCTTTAAATATTGAAATATTTAAATTAAAAATATATTCCTTTCTTGGCTGAGGTCTGATAAGTGAAGCCTGGGCCCTTCTGGACAATTGGAAAGAGAAGGAAATGGAGAAAATAGGAAGCACTTAAATTCTCTCAAGTAGGTGTCTAGCTGTGCCAACTGGAAAAATAATTCTGTAAGAACACTTGCTGAAGTTTCAGTTTTTTGTGGAAGGATATATCTGAACCTCTTATCCACATGCACCCGCACCAAGGGGAAGAAGTGCAGTGAGTTGAAAAGCCTAAAACCATGCGGATGTTTTACGTAAATAGACAGTGGATATATTTTTATTTTCTTAATAGATTTTTCCCCTTGGGTTCAGTCACCTGAAATAATGATGAACAAAAGTCTCTGCACCAGCAGAATGCAGTAATCTCTTAAATGTAGAAATAGCTGCCCTCACTATAGAATATTTCTGTGACCATTGGATATGGTGTTGAAATATTAGAAACTTCTCCATAAAGATACCTCATGATGGTGTTTACATTCCTTTTCTGTTGGCTCCCGAGAGGAAAATGTCATCATCATTGAAATCAATAATAAATTGTCTGCCAGGTTCTGGAGCCTGGTCCCTGAATATCCACAAAGGGCGGCATTTGCTACAAGTACTGTTTGATGCCTCCCTGAGGTAAGTGAGGATGGTAAGATGAAGCTGTGTCTAATACACAGCCCCTATCGCCCGGAGTGCTTCAACTGACACACTTAAATTATTCATGGGCAAATTGAAATGGGAGCATTGTATACTGGTTTCAACATACTTCTTTGCTTCCCACTGGACATACAATACTTCTCTAGCTCCTTACTGAAATGTGTACTTTTATACCACTTGAAATGTCTTCAGGAGTAGTCAGTATCATTCCAGTTCATGTTAGAATACTTACTTTTTAGGATTTTGACTGTGTTGAATATTTTTTCTGGTTTAGGCTTTGGTAGGAAGACTTTCACCTCAATATTTCTACATCTTGGAACTACTAGCTAGCTCTGTCAGAAGCATATGTAACTTCAGAAGTCATGGAGCATTTTGAAATTGTTCCCATTCTCATTAGGGATAAACACGTACCATAAGACAAGTCATTTTTACTGAATTAAAGAGCTTCTTAATTGATCCACATGTCTTTTAAATACCTTGTACATCACCACTGAAGTATGTACTTACGGATCGATAAGATTATGTTGATACTGTTGCTGGCCTATGCTCATTCAACATTGATGCAAAACATATTGATTAAGCATCTATTATGTACAGGTACATGGCTAAATACTGAGAGGGGCCCTGCCCTATCAAGTACTTTGTAATTTATGGAAATAGGTGTCCCTGAACTAATGTGAAGAAGACAGAATTCTACATCAGCACCAGAAGATATGAGTACTTATCCCCTCATCCCAACTCAATCCGCCTTGCTGGGTAACCCCAGCCTGCCCATTTAACTTCTCTGAGACTTTCCTCATCTGTAAAATGGAAATATTACTGATTACTGGCTTGTTGTGAAGATCAATTGAAGGAAATGTGTTCTAAAACATATTGCAAAATGCAGCATGTGACAAAGAGTAACCTAACATTATTAGATATGGCTATTAACTAATGTGTCTATCCTTATTCTTCAAATTAATGACTGATAATGATCAAACAACATGCCAGTGTTTCCAAAGGTTTCAATGCAATGATGTAAGTGGTATGATTTCTCCATTTTTCCCTCACAGGAATCTGCAGCTTATAAAGCTGTGAATGCACTTCGATCAGTATATGGGGTACGGTACAGATATGGACCCGCCTCCAGCACATTGTGTAAGTTTCCTGTGCATGTTATGTTGGAGTCATTTCTTGAACCAATATCCTGTATAATGACTTCCCTTTAAAAAAGAGAGAGAATGAGTGTCCCCCACTAAAGTGAATTTTTTGACTACCACATTAGCCAAGGAAGATGAAAGGAGTTTATATCTGATTATTTTTACACTGCTTGACAAAAATCACTGTACAAATTTAAATAAGTTTGAAGCAGAGAATATTTTAGTCATATAGTAATAACTATAAAGTTGAACTGAGCTCTTATGTCAGTATAAAATACCAAAATAGGCTCTTTAAGCAATTCTAAGTACTATAAGCCTGGAAATAGGCCTTGAGGAAATCACGAAGTAATGTTTCAGCCTGAAAAGAGCTTCCCTTTTATTCTTTTCCCCCACTATTCTTGTTATGAAATTCCATTTCTTACATAACATCTTCAGCTGAATTTCCCCTTAAAAGGTGATTGAAATATTTCTTACATAAAGTACATATTTTAATTAAGAACAATTGGGTACATGGAAAGAACTTGGACAACGAATCGGGAGACATAGGTTCTAGTCGTAATTCTGCCACTAGTCAGGATGCAATCCTGGCCAAGACGTCAGTCCTGGGCTGTAGTATCCACAACTGTTAAATGAGAAATCAGATTAGATCATGTCCCACAGCCTTCCAAACTCTAGTGAAAAATCCTAAATATTTATGAATATTATGAATGTTTATGTATGCATGCTAAGTTATGCACACATATAGGTCAAGTGTATGTGTACAGATAGTGATATCCAATTATGCTTTATAGTGGGGTAGCAAATTCTTCCTGATGTCTTTAATGTACCTATTATTATGTTCATAACTGTTTACTTTCTTCAGCCTTCAAAAGAAGAGCTTGGTTTGTCAATTAACACTACTTATCAAGTAAGTTTATCCTAGTAATGACTATGTCTTAAGTATCAGAACTTTTTTCAAACTCCACAATCAGTGGTCTCATGCTGATCTTTTTAGAAATGCTTTTCAATAAAGCCACCATGAAAGGGGGAATGTAGTATTTAAAAAATCACATTACAGACTTCTAGTCAAGATGGCGAAGTAGGTAAACGATTTGCTCACCTCCTCTCATGACCGCATCAAATTACAACTAAATTACAGAACAACCATCCTTGAGAGAAAACTGAAGATTAGCTGAAGAGAAGTCCTATAACTAAGGATATAAAGAAGAAACCACTTGGAGACTGGTAGGAGGAGTGGAGACACAAGATGGGCTGGTCCCACACCCAGGTATGGAGGTTACAAGTCAGGAAGGATATCCTGGCTGCAGAGGCCACTGCTGGAGGTGAGGGTCCCCGGCCCACACTGGACTCCACAGCCTGGAGCACCTGTGCCAAAAAGAGGAGCCCCCACAACATATGTCTGTGAAAATCAGCAGGGACCTACCTGTCCAGGTGATACAGAGAACTGCCGCAGGCCCAGACATCCTCTTAAAGAGCCCAAACACAGACTCACTGACAGACACTCACAAACAAGGAAGGGACAGCAGCTGAAAAGCACCAGGGACTCATGGGGAGGAAATGAATTGACTGGCTTCTAGGCAAAGGCTAGAGGGGCAGCTCTCTCCAAGGACAGAAGTGCTGGCAGGTGCCGTGGTTCCTTTGTTGAACCCTACCCTAGCTTAGCCTGCATGTACACCCAGGCAACAAATCTGAGTCTCTACCAACCTGGCCAATACCACTTACCCCACCCTGGTAATTCCCTGAGACCCTGATGGAACTCACACACCAGCCCTAACCACTTCAAGTGGCTATTCCACACAAGTAGTCAGACTTGGCTCATACTGCAGACATTACTAAAATCTCTCAAAGGTCTACAAACCCAAAACAAGCAGTGGCTGGCCTCGGCATGCTCTGTATCTATTGTTAAGTGGTCCCAAGCCCACCGCTAGTGGCATCCAACCTCGATTCACAGCATAGTCTCTCCCAGGCACCTCCAAGCCCAGCACAGGCAGCTAGCAGTTGCAGATCACCTGAATAGACATTGAACCAAAGAAGACATACATAGACATGTGCAAAAATTCTCAACGTCACTAATCATCAGAGAAATTCAAATTAAAACCAAAATGAGATATCACCTCACACCTGTCAGAAAGACTGTCCTCAATAAATAAAGAAACAGCAACTGTTGACAAGAATGTGGAGAAAAGAAGATCCTCCTGCACTGTGGATGGGATTGCAAATTGGTGCAGCCACTATGGAAAACAGTATGGAGATTCTGCAAAAATAGTAAATTGTAACTACCATATAATCCAGCTATTCCACTTCAAGGTATTATCCAAAGAAACTTAAAAGACTAATTTGAAAAGATACGTGCATTCCAATGTTCACTGCAGCATTATTAACAATAGCAAAGATATGGAAGCAACCTGTGTCCATCAGTAGGTGGTCAGATAAAGAGGAGGTCACACACACCACACATAGGTGTATAATGGAATACTACTCAGCCGTAAAAAAGGAATGCAATCTTGCCATTTGCAACATGGATGGACCTAGAGGATATTATGCTAAGTAAAATAAGTTGGACAGAGAAAGACAAATACATATGATTTCACTTATATGTGGAATCTAAAAGACAAAATAAACAAAATAGAAACACACATAGATACAGAGAACAAACAGATGGTTGTCAATGAGAGAAAGTTTGGGGGCTGGATATAAAACAGGAAGGGTTTAAGAAGTACAAATTGTCCGTTACAAAATAGTCACAGGAATGTTAAGTACAGCATAGACAATGTAATCAACAATATTATAACAATATTGTAATTGTTCCAGGTTGATACTAGACTTATCAGAGGGGATCTGTTCATAAGGCATATAAATGTCTAACTACTATTCTGTAAACCTGAAACTAATATACTATTGAATATCAACTGTAATTGAAACATTTTTGTTAAATTTTGCCCTGGCTGGTGTGCCTCAGGGAATTGAGTGCCAGTCTACAAACCAAAGGGTTGCTGGTTCAATTCCCATTCAGGGCACATGCTTGGCTTGTGGGCCAGGTCCCCAATAGGGGGTACAAGAAAGGCAACCACACATTGATGTTTCTCTCCTTCTCATTCTCCCTCCCTTCCCCTCTGTCTAAAAATAAATAAATAAAATCATTTTTAAGAAAAAAGAAAAAAATTTTAAATTTAAATAATGGGGAAAATTACATTACCAATGAATACCCATCATATTAACAATTCTAAGACATTAATTTTTAAAAATCTTACACTTCACCTTTGCAGCTTGATATCAAGGCACAGTCATAGTCTGATATTTACCAAGAAGAACATGTTGCCATAGAAATTAGGCTGTCACATTACCACGAGCTAACTGTTGGCACATATTGTCTCTGACTTTGGCTCCCATGACTACTGTTTGTACTCTAACCCAAAGGGCCAATGAAGCCACAACCTCCCTTCTGTCATTAATGGAAGCCAAGGGAGCCTGAGAAACAGCAGAGTCATCTAACTGTCATAATAATTCTGTCTCTAACTTGTCCTGGTAAAAATAGCATAAAAAGTGGTATTATTTGAGTAGGTGAACATGCTCTGAAAATTTTAAAGTAATAGTATATTTCAGGCTAGACCATATAAATCTCAGAAGAAAAGTATAGAAAAGTATATCAAGATTCTTCTATGCAGCATGTAATCATTTATTCAAAAATTATTAAGAGCATGTGAGGCTGAAAATTACATTAGGGGTATAAAGATACAAAATAATATCAGCTATTGTAGGCTAAGCACACTAACTTAATTTTTACAACAACCCTAGGCAGTAAATATTATCATCCCTCTTTCAAAAGGGTCGACCGAGGCACAGAGCAGCCACAGATGGTGGGATTGGATATAGCCAAGCCCACAGTCCACCTCTGCTGCCTGCACTTTCAACTCTGCTGAAAAGCTGGAGCATGTGAGGTCACCAGAGTCAGAAGGAAAGAGCTGTCAGGAAGGACTGTCAACTAGGTTAAATGCTATTGAGATGTTGCAAATGGGATCTGGAGGAGAAGGAGGGAGAGATGAGGCCTGCTGTCACTGCTGACCTTCAAGAACATAGACAGGTAGAGACAAGAACCAGATTGAAAGTGACAGAGGATGTAGAAGGAACTATATATATCAATTCTCTTTTACAACAGGAAGGACAAGAGGATGGCATATAGAGGAATGATAGAACGGAAGTGCTGTATAAAAATGGTGCTTGAACATTTTGGGCAATGAAGCTGCAAATGGGGAGGGGCAGTTAATTAATGAAACAAAGGCCTGGAGAAGGGACCCACCCCCCAGCAGAGAAGACAGTGACATATGGTATCAAAAGATGACATGTGTAAAAGATGAGCAACATTTCTTCTTCTGAGCTAAAGGGGAGAAGTCAGAGAGCTGTGATGTCAGCAGAGGAGGTGATAAGCTAATTGCACTTTTGGAGTATGGGGACAGTGGGAATGTGAAGGGCAGGACTAGAAGAGAATGAGAAAAGTTCCATAAGTAGAGGTCTAGAAAAAGGAGCCTAGAGCTTCTTCGGGAACAGAGAAAGACTTCAGTGATTGGTATGAATTCATAGCAAAGACTTTCTCCAGCTACCTCACAAGGTGTGAAAGCGGAGAAACTGGGCCAGAGATTGAGAATTAGCAAAACCAAGGCAGAGAAAGGAATGGATGAGTCTTATTTGGGGTCTGGTGAGAAATTTAGTGAATTAATTAACCAGGGCCAGGTAGAGAGTAAAACGAAATTATAAGGCTGGGAAGAGTCTGTGAACTACAAACTTAAGCAAAGGCAAAAAACCAAGTTTATTAGGAATAAAAAAAAATAGGGAAAGTACAAGAAATGAGGAGGGTTTGGGGGAACAGAATTTCAATATTGTAGGCCTTGAAAGTGAAGAACTGAGTGATAAGAGGAAGAAAAGCCCACGGCACGGTTTTGGTGATGGGTGAATGAAGTGCAGGGGGAGACAAATATTGCTGGAGCTGAGGCTGAGAAATCTGAGGTCACTATGCTGGGAAAGAATCAACACGTAGACTAGGTCCTCACAGATGATGGTGGATACAGCTTATAAGGTCTATGAGCTCAATGCCAACAAACTACTGTTAAATCATTCTGGTTGATATGATGTTTATTGAAAGGACAGTGTAGCTTAGTAATATATACATTTATGAAAATTATACATACAGACTCTTTAGTGAAACTGATTTTTTTCTTTTTAACTTCTAGATGTGAGTTCTGGTAGCTCAATGGATTGGGCCTACAAAAATGGAATACCCTACACATTTGCTTTTGAACTACGTGACACTGGGCATTTTGGATTTTTACTCCCAGAGGCTCTCATCAAACCCACCTGTACGGAGACCATGCTCGCTGTGAAGAATATCACAGTGCACCTACTCAAGAAGTGTCCCTGATAGGACCTGAGGGTCAGGTCAACCGCCAGAGGAAAAGCTGATTTTGCACAAGAGCTACTTGACAATGGATGAAAATTGTTTTTAAAGAGAGGGGCAACTGCTTGGAGTAAATATATCTCTAGACTTTTAAAGGAATTTCCCATGCAATTCAACTCTCTGTGGTGATTTAAAAAATGGTAAAAAATAAATAAGAGCATAGCCTAGTTTTTTGTAAGCAAAAGCATTTATTTTATATCCCATTAGAGTCTCATTGGATTAAGGTGGGGGATATTTTCCAATTATTTTTGTCTCATGAAATGTACAAATTGAGAATGTCACTTCAGTAAATCACCTATTCTCAATTCAGATCTACCAATGATGTTCAATCACTTGGTTCTTTTAAAATGGCAACTTTTGAAATGGCAAGAACTATATTCCTTAATACAATAAATAAAAAATTTTTAAGACCTTGGAGTATTCACAGCTTTATCCCATGGTATTAGTGTACCATATATCTATAAAAATATAACAAAATAGAACACTTGTGTTTAGATTCTGAGAATAACACTTTTTAAAAATCATATTTTATTGATTATACTGTTACAGTTGGTCTGATTTTCCCCCTTTACCTCCCTCCACTCAGCACCTCTCACTTCCTCAGGCAATCCCCCTACCCTTAGTCATGTCCACAGGTCATGCGTGTAAGTTCATTGGCTACTCCCTTTCCTATACTGTACTCTACACCTCCATGGCTATTCTGTAACTACCTATTTGCACCTCTTAAGCCATTCACCTCTCACCCATTCTCCCACACCCATGGTCTCATCTCTTTATCTTTAATCTTTGGTATTAAATTATGATGTGTCTTGGGGAGGGCTTCTTTGCATCTGTCATGTTTGAGACTTTCTGTGCTTCCTGGATTTGCATGTCTATTTCCTTCACCAATTTAGGGAAGTTTTCTTTCATTATTCTTTCATACAGATTTCCAATTTCTTGTTCTTTCTCTTCTTCTTCTGGAACCCCAATGAAGCAAATGTTGGATTGCTTAAAGTTGTCCCACAGGCTGCTTACACTATCCTTGATTTTTTGGATCCTCTTTTCTTCTTGTTCTGATTGGTTGTTTTTTTTGCTTCCTTATGTTCCAAATCATTGATTTGATTCTCAGCTTCACCCACTCTACTGTTTTTTTCCCTGTAAATTGTTCTTTATTTCAATTAGTGTACTCTTTGCTTCTGACTGGATCCTTTTTATGCTGTTAAGGTCCTCACTAAGTTCCTTCAGCATCCCTGTAAACAGTATTTTGAACTCTGCATCTGATAGGTTGCTTATCTCCATTTCGTTTAACTCTTTTTCTGGAGTTTTGATCTGTTCTTTCATTTGGGCCATGTTTCTTTGTCTGCTCATTTTTGCCACCTCCCTGTGTTTGTTTCTATGTATTAGGTAGATCTGCTTTGAATCCATGTCTCAGTAGTGTGGCCTAATGTAGTAGGTGTCCTGTAGGATCTAGTTGCACAGTCTCCCCTATCACACAAGCTGGGTATTCAAGGTGCACCCTTAGTGTGGGGTGAGTACATCCTCCTCTTGTAGTTGAGACTTGGTTGCTGTTGGCAGATCAATGGGAGGAATTTACCTAGGCCAGTCAGCTGCAAGGATTGGCTGTGACCACTTACCACCAACCTCCAGGCTCCATGGAGGATCAGCTGTGCAGGAACGGAGTGGAGGTGCTGCAATGTGGTCTGTAGCTGTCTATTGAATGTACTGGCCCCTGGCATTTCCTGGGCGGGTAAAGCCAAGGTCAGCCCCCACCCGTGTTTTACCCAGGAGGCACCCTGCCTGAGTTATACAACAATCTGAGATGGCTAGTACTTGTGCTAGCCTTGGAGATTTCCAGGGGAAGCCAAGCTGTGAATCTAGGCAGCTAGTTCCTGGCCTGGGGCTCACTGAGGCCAGTTGTTGTCTGTTTTAGAGAATTTAGGAAGTTGTGAAGCATGAGCCAAGGCTATTCATATGGAAAAGCAGCTTGAGTGGGCCTGTAAATTGGGTGGGGCAGAGTCTCTGGGATCTCCAAGACAGGTCCAACAGTGTTAGCCAGGTTGATAGAATCTTAAAAAAGGCACCAGTCTGCAGGCTCGATGGGGGGAGATCCCAGAAAAGGGACAATAGCCGCTGCTCCCATTGATGCCAGACACCTCAACCTCCCCCTGCATGCCACTGGTGCCCCTCAAGCCACCACCCTGTCACTGGAGCCCAGAGGGAGTAAGTCTGAGTAGGTGAATCCATGTGTGGGTTCTTTAAGAGGAACTGCTTGGGGCTCCAGCAGTTTCTTCAACTGACTGAATCCCCAGTGGTTTTTGCAGCCAGAAATCGTGCAGATTTATCTTCCTGGCACTGGAACCCTGGGCTGGGGCATCTTGTGTGGGGCTGGGACTCCTTGCTCCTGAGATATCCCTCCCAAATTTTTATCCACCACATGTGGAAGTGGGACAAGCCCATTCCACATCTGCACACCTCCTACCATCTGGCTGAATGTGATTTAATTCCATAGTTGTCACACTTCCAATCAACTCAATTTCTGTCAGTTCTGAGTGATGGTTGTTCTATATTTTAGTTGTAATTTTGTTGTTACTGTGCAGAGGCAAGCCATGTCTACTACCTACACTGCCATCCTTACTGGAAAAGAAAAAAATACCACTTTCAAAATAGGAGAAAACATGAATTGAAGTGCCAGACACAGCATTAAGAGCTTTATGTAATAATCTCACATTATTCCTCAAATACTACAGTAGATACTACTATTATCCTCACTTTTCAAATAAGAAAATTGAGGTTTTGAAAGACAAAATATCTATCTGGACTGCTGGAAATAACTAAAACTTCTGGACAAAATGTAATTTTTTAGATCATCTGTGACACTCCAGACAAAAAAGTAAGGGAATCTCAGGCCAGGGACTGAGTGAAGGCAGGAACCTAGAAAGCTAAGTGGTGCACCATTATCCTGAGAGCATTTGTCACACCAGGTGAGTACCTACTAATTTTCACAGCTTTGTGGAGAATGAGAGCAGACAAAAAAGCCCAAGGCTCCTCTAAAGTGGAAAGTCTAATAGCAGATTCTTCCACAAGAATTCTGGGAATTCCAAGGATAAATTACAAATAACCCCCATACTACCTCCAATGGACCACATGGAAAATGAAAAATTTCATATTCTGGCAAAAATAAAGAGGGGGAAAATTGCCACTGAGAATTTGGAACCACACGTCAACCCTCACCAGGATTTGTGGCTCGAATTCAGCCTACAGGAATCCCCCTCTTTTCAAAAGTTCACTTTATACCACGTGGCTTTTACAAAAGACCTATGTTAGTACTCATTTTCACTAACCAAAAGAAATCTGAAGAGGATTTTCAAATAAAGATGAAAAGTGAACATAGCATTTTGTGTTTGTTTTGCATCATGAGCAGCCCCACGAAGCTCCTTCCCAAGGAGCCACACTCAACATCTCAGCCTCAAGCCACTAGACCTCTGAACTGTGTCTGTGATTATCTGTGCTTCATCTCCATTTATTCTGTGCATCCATTAGCAAGATGTGCCCTGAGGAAATCCCTTCTTTATTTAATGCCATTTCAGCTTTTGAAAGGTTCCATAGGAAGAAGCTACTTTTGAATAACTTGGGAAACCTACACCTAAATGGTCTGATAAAGCTCTAACCAAGAATTTAATTCAGATTAATCCCAGATTGGTTATATTCTCCAAGTATTTGGTAGGAGAAAATACAAATCCTCTCAAAGGATTTATCTGATGTATCATGAACACCAGGACAAAAGAGATAAGCTTAAAAACATTCAGAGAGGGGAAAAAAATGATCACAAAGGAATGAAGACTAGAGTAGCATGAAACTTCTCAACAGCACCACTGAAGCTTGAAAACTATTAAGAAATATATTGGAGTTTTGAGGACATTTTCTATCCTAAAAATCTACACCTAGCAAAACAATCAATGAAATGTCAGGGTAGAATATTTTTATAAAATTGAGGCCCTACCTTTCTCAGGAAACTTGTGAAGAACATGCTCTATCAAAATAAGGGAGTAAATCAACAGAAATAAGTAGGATCTCAGAAAATAAGAAATCCAACATAGGAGAAAGTCATGAAAAAAAATCTAAAGATAATGGTGAAGAGAAAATTCCCAATAACCACTGTATGTTGGGCTTACAGTAAAACTAACTTGGAACAGGAGGAGAACTGAAGACTTCAGACGAAATTCTCCAAGATGAAAATGAAACAGAACACAAACATGTTCAGAGGCAATATTTACTTACATCAGACAGTTTGGGTGTGAACTAGTAATAAAAGCACAGAAACAAAGGAAACAACAAATATATATATATATATATATATATATATATATATAATTGTTAACTTTGATAAAAACAATGAGTAATATAAGGGAAGAAATATAATCATAGTGTACCATGTGACTTAGCTATAAATAATATTTATATTAGAGTTAAATGTTAGCCCTAAATATTAATTTAACCAAAAACTATGATATAAATATATTGAAAGGACAGGAAGAAATAAATGTGTGTAAGGAGAGGAGGTATAGGATAGTTAAACCCTTATCTGCTGTAGCAGGAAGTCAATAGACAACACCTAAAACTGAAAAAAACAATCAAGAAATATCAGCATTTGCATTTAGTTTAGAAATAAGAAGGTAAATACTAGAAGAAATAATTTAAGAGATTATGAATTATTGAACTAATGAAAGTGGATCATGAGCAAGGAAGGATGGAGGAGAAGACTGCTGGTTTTAACATGAGACTTGTCATAATATTTGACTGGTTTTATTATTTTTAATCACACAAAGAGTATACTCCCCTTAAAGGAAGATCATTTTTTAATGACTCCCCAACAACTCACCATCCAGTTTTTGATGTTTATAACATATACATTGTTTCAGTTAAAAAATAAAAATTAAATTTAACAATAGTAAATGAGATTATATGTGGAATGCCTAACACAGAAC